CTGCACCCGGCCAAACCCAGTTCTTCTGTCTTCACTTCTTGCGTGTCTACTGGGTCCTGCTCTCTCCTTTTCTAACTCTGCCCTGAACCAACCCAGTCAACTTTGGCTTCCTCTCTGGGTCTTAGTGTTTCTAAGCTGCGTAAGGGGAGTGGCCATTCTGTGGCATTGATACTCAATTTTGGCAGATGGCACAAATGCATGGAGAGCATGGGGTAGGTAGCCCTCTGGCCCCTTTCTCCAGCCCCCATCTGCCCCCTCTTAGTATCCCTTCCAATCCCTTCCAGTTCCAAACATGTGTAGACTTTTCACTTCCACTTTATTATCACCTCATTTGTAGGATTTTAAGGTTTATTACCTAGAAGGGAGTGAGGAACTCACACCTTCAGTTCCGCTTTTCAAATATACGGTTTTCATGTGTGAAAATAACCTTAATAACAGCATCTAACCTGCTACAGTTTTGTCTGGAGGGCATCCACATAAATAAATGCAGAAGGAACCAGGGCATGGGCAACAACACAGCTAGCTAGGGTAGTGCGGCCTCTGGACCCCTGGAACTTTCTTCTAGCCCTTGGGGGTCCTGGAGCTGTTGTCAGGGTCAGCAGAACTCAGACGAGACCCAGAGCAGCTTTGAGCAATTGGCCGCCTTCTCTGGGTCTCCGCCTCCTGCCTCCTCTGATGCTCAGAGCTCCTTCAGGAAACAGCTCCTGGGTCTCCCCAGTTCCCCTGTCTCCTGGATGCTTGTCCAGGATTGATTCTCTGGGCAGCTCCCCTCCAAGCAGTAAATGAAATATTGGTTACCAGGAGTGAGGAGGGAGGCAATTAACCCTTAGACCTCACCATGGCAGATGTGTCTGTAGCAAGCTGAAGTGGAGAGCCAGGCACACCTGCCTGGCCTTCCTGCAAAGTCATCCAATTAGGGCAGCCCCCAGCAGTGGGCCCACTGCCCCCTCTGGTCCTCATAACCTTAGAAACCAGTGCAGCACCAGCTCCTAGGGCTGGTGGCTGCCTCAGCATAAGATGGCCTGCCATTTCTCGTGTGGAAGAGCTCCAGGGGCACCTCCGTCCTCATACCCCTCCTGGCAGGGACATTATTCATTAATTAATCACACATCTTCCTAAAGGGGAGGCAACCTGGGGAGGTTTGTTGCTTCTCCTCCAGAGTGGACATGCCCTTCTGTCTGTCCGGCACCTTCCCACCCCCACACAGCCCTGACCCCTGGAATGTTCCTGTGCCAGAAAAGAACCCTGACTGAAGAAGGGGGAGACAAATGCCCTGCTTTCAGGGAGCCCCCACTAGAAAAGACAGACACAGCCTCTGCTCTCAAAGTGCTCACAGTTAGATAAGAAGACAGTCTCTTCTTCAGGCAGCCCCTAGTCCGGGGGTGGAGACTGTCCCTTTCTCAGAAAGTCCTAGTTTAATAGAAGAAGCACAGTATCGGCCAGGCGCAGTGACTCATGCCTGTAATCCCAGCACTTTGGGAGGCCGAGATGGGCAGCTCACTTGAGGCCAGGAGTTCAAGACGACACTGGCCAACATGGTGAAATCCCGTCTCTACTAAAAATACAAAAATTAGCCAGGCATGGTGGTGCACACATGTAGTCCCAGCTGCTCGGGAGGCTGAGGCAGGAGAATCGCTTGAACCCTGGAGGTAGAGGTTGCAGTGA